TTATGCCAGTGATGGGGCGCAGCTTCCCTCTTGGGGGGAGAGCGTGGGGAGCACCAGACTCCCCCTAAGCTACGTGGAGGCCATCCCCCATGGATTGCCCAGCGCTGCCCCTCCTGCTTCTCTCACCTTGTCGCCACGAGAGCCCAGGGTTGCTCTGAGCGTTTTCTGGGCTTCCTGCTTTCGCTGCCAGGTTGGCCACGCCAGCGGGCTGAAGGAGTGCTGGTGATTTGGAACCGCAAATCCCATTGCTGGCCACATCTGGCAAGCAGCCTCCTCAGTGATTCTTTGGGCCTCCTCTGACGGCATCCCCCCAGCCCCCCCTTCTTCTTTCGCCCTTTCCAAATGGAGGGCTGAAGGGAGCTTCCGGGAAAGGTGGGGCCCGGTGTTCCTCCACTGGCCCCCTCCCTTGCCCTCCACTTCAAAGGGGGTCCTCGCCGAGTTCCCGGGGAGAAAGAAACGGCAGAGGGTTTGTCCGCGAGGGGGTCCAGCTAGGCAGGGGGCTGCAACCATCTCCTCCCTTGGGTTTTGTTCACAAGTTTGGGGCTTGTCGTTCATTACGTTGTCCACCTGTGGAGCCAGAGGGTGGGATGAGAAGAACCTTGCCCGCAGGAATTCTACGCCAGGCCAGAGCAGCCTGCCGGCCAGTTGGCAGCAGGTGGCATCTCCAGGTCAGCAGCACCGGGGCTTCCGGGGAGGGACCCTTTCGAGTCGACCCTCTGGGGATGGCTGGAAGCAGGAGGAAGGCAGGGGGCCAACCTCTCCTTGGACCTGGTGGGTGTCCTTGCCAGCAGTGAACAGGGACGGTCAAATGGGGAGGAGGCTGTCTTGCCCCCCCACTGCCTCCATTCCTACTCCCCCCCCCTTCCCAGCATGGGGAGAGAAAACGAGGCCCTCTCCTCTTCTACCCCCCCAGGCAGCTGTTTCCTGTGCCTGGTGGATGTTGTCCCAGTGAAGAATGAGGACGGCACCGTGATCATGTTCATCCTCAACTTCGAGGTGGTGATGGACCGGGCTGTGCTGACCAGCTCCGCCAAGAACACCAACCACTGGGTTTCGCCTGCCGCCTGGTTGCCCACAGGTAGGAGATGGCCTCTGTCTGCAGGGGAGGCCTGGACACTCATACACCCCACTTCCAGTGGAGCTGGGGGCACCAGGACAGGGCACCGTCGCCAGGGTTTCCCTCGCCCAGCTTCAGGGCAGCTGCTCTGTCCTGGGAAGTTTCTTTTGAAGGCTCGTCTGTACATCTGGCTGGTCTTCAAAAGAGACAGTTCTTTTTTTTTTATTGCCATTTTACTTTGGGGCAGGTGGGAAGGGGAGAGCGGAGTCCCACGTTTAGGGAGAGGAAGGAAAGAGGTCACGCTAGCACAGGTCAGTCTGAGCAGAACTCCTAATAGCTTCAGCAGGACCTTTGTCTGCAGATGATCTGGCCCACGGCTGCTCCCTGCAGAGTCCGGGGAATAATCAGAGATTGAACTGGGTTCCTGTGGCTCACCTGCCAGTGCTCCTGCAGGTGCCAGTTCCACTTGCTTCCCCTCCCCACCCCACGAAGGAAGAGCCTGGCTGCCCAGCAGCGGTCAGGCTCTGCAGGCTATAGCTGGTTGGCTCTCCGGGCAGGGTCAGCCTCCCTCCTCTCAGAGGCTGTTTCTGTCCTGGTGTCCTCCCGTATGTATTTTTTTAAAAATCGTATTATTTTAACCTGGGGTAGGCCCAAATGAGTGGGAGGAGGCAGACCGCCCGTAGAGAGGAAGGCAGGCAACTTGAGGGAGCTAGGTGAGACCTGCTACCAAAGCGGTGAGGGGGAAACATATCTCGAGTCCAAAACCAGCAGAACGTACAGCATTCAAGCGTACGCAAGTGGCTTACTGATGCCTCCCTAATTCACGTGGGTATAAGCAGCAAGCAGACTTAGCCTTCCTGTGGACCGGATTCCTGGTCTGGTCTACCTTGTGGGACTGACGCCACCCGGGCTAGGGACGCCTGACTCCTCACCCCACTGCACTTGCCTACTGATCTGCTGAAGGGGGGCGGCTGCAAAGCCAGGGGAGAGAGTCAGTCGCCTCTTGTCTGCCCCAGCTGCGCCCCCACCCGTCAGGACAGCCCACCGGGGACAGAACAGGCCAGATGGGGATCGGCAGTGGGGACCAAGGACGGGTGAAGTGCTGCCCCAGGGGTGGGGAAAGGCCCAAATGCCCATTAGCAACCACAGAGGGCAACCGTACGCCCAGCGTGCTCCTGGCCAGGCGCTCGAGATCTTAAAACGCTTTAATGCAAGAAACGTGTAAGTGGCCCAACGCCGGGAAGAGCTTTCTCCTCAAGAGAAAGTCTCTGGGCCCCTGTCCCTCCTTCTCCCAGACCACAGGGTGCTGGCTGCCTCCCATGGAGCTGCAAAATGCGGGGGAGAAGCCCTTTCACCTCCGAAGAGATGCTGATTGCTGGGGGCGGGGGGCGGCCAGAAAGGGCGAGAGAAGAGCCTTGCGGCTTTCAGTGACAGGCTGTTGGGGCTGTTTCCAGTGGGGGGCCCTGGGGGGGCTGGTCCCTGCAGGGCACTCTGGGGTCCCCTTGGGTCAGGTTGCTCCCACGCTTGGCCGAGAGCCCGAGGAGGGAGGCTGCCGGGGGTGGGCGGTTTCCGCCAGGCAGCTGCTCAGTGCTGGACGTGGCGTGGGAGGATGGATCGAGAGGCTGGAGGACAGGCGTGGCTGTCCAAAGCTGCTTCCAGCGAGAGCAGGGTGTCCCCTTGCTTCTCTGCGGGAAAAAGCTCACAGATTTCTGCTATAAAGCCAATTCTCTGTGTGTTGTGGGGGGGTGTTTGGGGAAAGTGCCCGGAGGAGGTAGGTTTCCTCTTGGGTCCTGCTTTCTCTGCAGAGCTCAGGGTGAGTGGCCCCTTTGCACCCTCCCGCTACCCCAGTGCGCTAGGCCACAGCTAGGGCTACTGACCCCTGGTGGCCAAAGCATTCCTCCCCCCATGCTCCCCCTGAGACCTCCCTCCTGGGGGGTGCCTTTTCTTCAGATTGGGTGGGGTTTCCTCCCAAGGCAAGAGGGGCTTGTGGCACGTCCTCTCCTGAGGGATGGGGAAAGGGTCAACGGGGGTGTGCAGAAGCGGATGGGGAGGGGGCGCTCTGCAGCCATCTCAACCCCCCCACCCCTGCTTGGTTCTGCCCTCCAGGCCGTGGCAAGTCTTTCCGGCTGAAGCTGCCGGCGCTGCTGGCTCTGGCTGGGAGCAAACAGTCACTCCCGCAAGACGACCCCGACGGGGCCGTGGTGGTGGACTTCTCCAAGCAGAGCAGCGAGTCCGTGGCCCTGGACGAGGTCACCTCCTCCCTGGACAACAACTGCCTGGGCTGCGAGGAGCCCGAGGACCAGCAGGCCCTGATGGAGCGCAGGGGGGATGGCCACGAGGACCCCCCCATCACCCACTCCTCCCCTCGGACGGACAAAGCCCACCTCCACCTGGAGGCCTCCTTCTCCAACTGCAGCTTGACCCGCAGCCGGTCCCGCGAGAGTTTCTACAGTGTGCGCCGGGCGTCCTCCGTGGACGACATCGAGGCCATGAAGGGCGAGGGGGACAAGGGCTGGGCCCACAGCCGGCACGCCAGCACAGGTATCGCCTGTGGGCGTGGGGAGGCAGGGCTCTGGCTGCCAGGTGCAGGCCAGCCTAGTGGAGAAGTGGCTGGCAGGGGCCCCGGGGTGGTGGGAAGCGAGGCCAACCTGCAGCGGAGGGACATGGCCCACCAGGACCTCTTCCTCAGCTGTGCAGAAATGGATGCTGAGGGCCCCACCTCTGGAGGGCAAGGTCTGGCTCTCTCAGCCGGCACAGCTCTCGTCCCAGAGCACTGAAGAGGGCACAGGCTCAGGGGGCCTTGCGTGAGCGTGGAGAGAGACCCGGGCCCCCAACTCTGCAGGAACAGTAAGAGGGGCTTCCCTGACCGCTTTGTTCTTTTGGCAGGGGCCATGAACAACATCCGGAGTCATCTGTTGAACTCCACCTCAGATTCGGACCTCATGCGCTATCGTGCCATCAGCAAAATTCCCCAGATCACCCTCAACTTTGTGGACTTCAAAGCCGAGGCCTTCCTTACGTCCCCCTCCAGCGAGAAGGAGATCATCGCCCCCAGCAAGCTCAAGGACCGCACCCACAACGTCACCGAGAAGGTCACCCAGGTGAGCCGGTCAAGCATCTCTGGGCCGGCCGGGATGCCGCAGTGGGGAGGTTCGCCTGACGTCCTGCGCCAGCAATGTCTGTCCGTCTCCGCCACCTCCCCGTTGGCGGGTCTCTTAGCCCTCACCCCCACCCTCCGTGGACGTGTGGCAGGCAGACTTGGACCTTGGAGCGTGGCTGTAGAGAAGTTGGTGAGGGGGCTTCCAGGGTGTCCTCGTGAGGGCAGACATTTCATTGCTGCATAGGAACCTAGAGTCGGAAGGGGCCGCGGACACCCTCCGCTCTCTCTCTGTCTCTGCTCTGATTTCTGCGGCTGAGACAATGGCCAACGGGGCAAGGCAGCTGGGGGGAGAGGGGAGCAGAGAAGAGGTGGGGTCTTGCAACTGGAGATGGAGCAAGTGAGCTTGTGGTCAAGGAGGAGATCTGGATGGGGAGGGGTCTTCTGTGCTTGAGTTCCATTGGAGTCACCGGCCCATTTGGGGAGGGCTGCAAGCTGGCTGGACTTCAGAACGCCCCTGGACTGCTGAGGTGCAGGAGCAAACAAAACTTCCCGTTTTTGGAAATCTGGGAGATCCAGCTGTCACTGGGATCTGGGTACTGCTTTGGGGGAAAGTGATGAGAAGATTTTGGCACTGCGACCCCAGAGGGCCCTGTAGGAAGCGGCTTAGCTGGAGGATCAGGCTTCAGGCGGGGGCTGCCCAGGGGTGGTTCACGCTTGCGGTGGCCTCTGGTCTTGCTGGATCGCTCTGGTGTCCGAAGCCATCGCCCACGGAGCAGCATTCTCCCCGCCCGGCCCCGCAGCTGGCACTTCCAGCAGGTCCTGGGTTGGGAGGGATGTGATCTGGTGGGAGATTTCTGTCTTAGAACTGGCTTAGAGTTTCATCTCCTTCCCCTCGGGGCCGATGACTTTCGTTGCTTATGGCTCCGGCTGTTTCGCACCCTGACCTCTAAGCCGCCCAGAGCTGCTTCGGCTGGCAGACGAGCAGCACACATGTTGTTGAGTCGGTCCCCCCGTCTCCATCTCGGGTGAAACAGGGGGCGGCCTGGTAGGTAGGAGACCGAAAGGAGAGCCGGTAGGCAATCTGGCGTTAACGGAGCTGGAGATTCGGCTTAGATGGTGGGACGTCCGTGGAATCCAGTCCCAGCGCTGGAGGGGCTGATGCCTTCCCGAAGGTGCCCAGCGATGCCTCCGTGATTTGGGGTGAGGGTGTGTTCTGGTGGCCGCGGAGCAGTGGGAAGTTGGGCTTCACAAGCACCTGTTTCTGAACAGGTGCCTCTTCTCAGCCTGAGGCCAAAGATGGTGTTGCTTGGAGCCGTAACGTTTGGGTGGCTGCAGAAAAGGTGCCCAAGGAGGTGGCAGGCCTACAAATAGGCCATGACGGAGCATGCCCTGCCTTTCTTCCGAGAGGGTAGCGAGGGGGCCGTGGAAGCATGAGCACTGGGGGGGGGCACTTTCCATAGTGTCTCAAGGGAGCAGTCCATGCCCTTGAGGACATTGGTGGCCTAGCGCACGTTGTCAGCCATAATCAGTATGCTGCGTGGAGACTACGGGGCACTGGGACTTGGATGATGCAAATGGCCTGTAGCCCCATAATTCATGGCTGGCTGGCAAGGCCCTTGCAGGAGGTGTGCCAGGGAAGCACTTACGGGTGTTCCTGTGAATTGCCTGCACTGAGTGCTGCACGCCCAAGGTGACCGTGCTCCAGCTGGGTGGCCCAGATCTATGTCCCCTTTCCCCCGAGACAGTACAGCTGCATTGCAGGAGTCATACCCTGGGCGTGGGCCAGGGAGAAGACCCCCCTGAATGCAGGGAAGAGCCGGTGACCCCTCCCTTCCCTTGGAGCCTCGTTCGCTGGCTTCTCCCCGCCCCGCCCCGCCCCGAGGGACTGGGGGCAGGACGAGGGGGGATCCAGCCCTGTCCCCAGCTAGCCTCTCAAGTCTGCGCTGCTCCCGGTCGGTCCGCCCCATCTTTCAGAGATGTCTG